GCTGCAGCTCGAGAAGGCGCTGGGCTCGATCAGCGTGAGGCTGGCGGGGAAGGTGATGGACGCGAGCTTGTTGTTGTAGGCGAAGGCCGATCTTCCGATGCTGATGAGGCCGTCGGGAAGGCGGATGTGGTTCAGGTCGTGGCACCTGGAGTCGAGTGCGTTGGTATTGAGGAGGAGGGACAGACGTGCAAGTGGAACGCACGAGACTGTGTTTGGCACACGCGCGCACCAGAGGAAGGCGCTCTGCTGGATGCGCTCCAGACTGGCGGGAAGGCGGATTTTCCTGAGTCTGTAGCACCCGCAGAACGTGCCGCTTCTGATCTCCTTGAGGCCGGCGGGAAGGACGATGGACCTGATGTCGCAATGCTGGAAGGCGTACTTTCCAACAGAGCAACCATCAGGTATGGTTATCGACCGGAGCCCGCTGCAGTTCGCGAAGCTGCTGCTGCCAACATAGACGAGCGAACTCGGGAGTGTGACTTCTTGCAGGCACGCTTTGGAGTAAAAGGCGACGCGAGGAATGTGCGTCGTGCCGTCTGGCACCTCGACGAGTCGGTGGTTTCCGTCCCAAGGCTTTGGGTCAATAGGCGGAGGAGGCGGCTTCTCCGGCCCGAAGAAGTACCTGAACATCTCGGACAGCCTGCGCCTTTGCATTGCGAGACAGGATCAGGTATGAAGCTGCGAGCACTCCGGTGAGGACTCGCTCTCTGAGTGCGAGGACGAAGGCGGCTGAGGCGAAGCTGTTACCAGCCACTGAGCCGCCGGGCAGCGAGTGGCCTGCTTTCTGAGTGGCGATTAAGGCGGCTGAGTTTCTTCTCTCAATCGTGTCACGCGAGCTCGTTTTCTCTTCTCCTTTCGTCGCGACGAGGGTCCTGCGTGCGTGTGTGTGTGTGTGTACACTCAACTCGTGTCCTGCTTTTTGCGCATACCTTCAGTACGACCTTTACTCTAGACCCTGGCCGCCAACGAGGCACGACGCCCTCAGCGGCAGGCGAGGACGGCGGCGAGCGCAGCGGGCGGCCGCCCCACCTCCCCGCGGATAGGGGACGGGTCCGTCAGCTGTCGCAGCTCTTCCACGCCTCCGAGTAGCGGTCGCCGTGAATCGCTCGGGGGGCCGGACCTCTTTTGCCCCGTGTGCCGGCACGCCTCTCTCCATCATCTTCAGAGCGCCTCTGAGCTCTGTGTGGAATGGGCGGGTCTCGCGGTCGCGGTCGCGCGGTGTCGTGTGTGTGAACCGGCGTTACCCGCTCTCGGCGGACTGGGCGCGCCGGCTGGACACGACGCGCTGCGGAGCTCGCCACCGTGGCTACACGAACTGTTGGTCGGTCGTTTCGCGGTTGACGCGAGTGTGTCCCCTCGTCTAGCAATATTCACCCCACCAAAACGCCCGTGGATCGATTCTGCTCGACGCCGACACTTGAGCCGACGACGCGCAGAAAGTACGACGACCCTGGCGCCGCACGCACGCGCGACGCGCCTTCCCCTCCCCCGGGGGGTCGGCACGTGGAGGCGTCGGGGGCTACATGGTCCGACGACGGTGGCAAGTGCCCCTCGAGCCGGCTTAAGTTGAAGAAGTAACCCCCCATCCCGGCCGCGGCGCGCAGGTCGACGTACGCCCGGTGCCGCGGCTCGGCGAGGG